TGGTGACAGAATTCACACTTTTCCTTTTTGACATACAACTGGTACTCTCTAAGCCGTGAGAACACCGCCCTTAATGGTCTAAATGATCCTCCAACGTCTCATTATAGACCACAATATCATCTAAATACATAACCACAAAGACATCAGTATACTTATAAAAGATGTTATTCATTAGATTGCAGAAAGTTTTCGAGACATTTGTAAGCTCAAACGGCATTACAAGGAATTCAAAAGATCCATAACACTTCACATATGTAGTTTTAAACTCATCTCCCTTTGCAATCCTAACTTGCAATACCCAGTCCTTAGGTCCAAATTTGTATAGAAGGTTGCCTTGGAAACCTTATCGAACAAATTAGCAACGTTTGAAATAGGTAATTATTCTTGATCGTCACCTTGTTTAAGGCTCGATAGTCAATGCACATTCACAACAAACTATCTTGCTTCTTTTGGAATAGAACCGGAGCTCCATATAATGCCATGGATGGATTCATACTGCTAGAATGTAGCAACTCATTCAACTACTTTCTTAATTCTACTAGTTCCATAGGAGACATCTGGTAAGGGGCAGGGGTTAGAGGCATTGCACCAGGCTCCAGCTCTATCTTGTGGTTAATTGCTTGTCTGCGCGAAAGGTTTTTGGGGAGTTCTAGGGGCATAACATCATAAAATTCCTCCAAAACTTATGTCACTACATCAAGAACTTCAATCAACACATCTGGTTTGATCTCCACCAAAATTGCGAGGTATGTCGTCTCGCCCTTCTACAAACCAACTTTCACTTATATAACGTATAACATCTCTATCTTTCACTTGCCTTTTTTCTTACTTTGGTTTGCTATCATTGCAGGCAAAAAACATGATGCTTTCTCATCTAAGATCAGCACCTCATTCAAATGAGGCATCAGTGCCACCTTTACTTTGATAAAAAAACTCATTCCCGAGGATGACATCAAAGTCACCCAAGGGAACAACCATCAAGCTCACATGGCTTTTCCATTGTCTAACCTTTAGGCGTATTTCTTCCATGCCACGCACCAACATTAGTTCAAAATTGATTGCCTTGAGCTTGCTAGTGTTCTCTGTCAACTATAGGCCAAACTTTCCTACTTACCTCTGGGCAACGAAGTTATGGGTGGCTACCGTATACACCATGGCCAAAACTTCCTTGTTGTTCGCCCAGGCCTTTACAAACATAAGGCCTTTGCGGGATTGCTGAACTTTGACCACAATGATTGCATTAAGCAAATACGGAGGATTAACTCAGGTGAGGTATGCATCATCATTGTCATCCCCATTTATAGCAACGAGGGCACTCAATTTCTCCTGTTTGGGATAGTCCTTGACGCGATGGAGGCCACTGCAGAAAAAATAGCCAGAATCAATTTTTTTTGACTTCTAGCTATTGTTTGGCATTTTAGAGTCAACAACATTCTTTTTTTTTTTTCCTTCTAATCCACCTTTTTTGAGTCTTTGGAAGTGCCAAGTTTATCCTTCTTGCCACCACTATCATTCTTTTTCTTTTTGTATGGGCCTTGATTGCAACCCAATTTGAAGTCAACCAAGCCGTCTGCAACAGCGATGGCAGTGGACAAATCATGCACCCCCCCACCTACGCAATTCGGCCTGTACTCAGCCTTTCAACCCGGACATAAAATGAAGAGTTTGTCCTCCCCAGACATGTTCTTGATATCCAGCATCAATGAACTGTATTGTTTTACATAATCATGAATAGTTCCAGTGTGCTTCAATTTCTTGAGCGAATCCCTAGCAATCCAAGTTGTGTTCCTAGGGAAGAATTGATCCTTCAATTCCTTCTTTATTGTATTACAAGCCTCAATTTTGGCACGTCCCTTAGATGCATCATCCTCATTCTAGGCTCGCTACCAAAGTTTGGCGTCGCTCGAAAGGTACATGCAGGTTATGGTCACCTTCTCTCCAACAGGCACATGGGCAGCTTTGAAGTACTTCTTTATGTTCCATAGAAATTTTTCTAGATCCTTGGCATTTCGGGTGCGTCTGAAGGCCTTAGGTTTAGGGACCTTTATTTTTAAAGACGTTTTGCCTACAACAGGTCGAGAACTCATGGCCCTCTTCACCAGGGACAGTTCTTCTTCAAGATCCTTCAAGTTGGTTTTGACAGCTTCAATGAGGGATAGAATGTCCTCCATCATCGTTGCGAACTTCACATCGTTGTTGGCCATATAGTTGTCAAAGGCCATCCTTAAGCCGACTATCTGAAAAGCATGCTGCTCCATCTGCAAAGCCACATTGGTTACAACATCACTTTTAGGGGCACCCATAAAATTCTCGAGATGGGTCACACATTCATGTAATTCTGTAGCATTTTCACCAGCCATGATTGAAAACCTGGTTTTGATACCAACTATCATGGGGGTCAATTTTTAGTCAAATTTTTGTCTCGTTATGGCATTAAGATCTGACACTCAGTCTCAGTCAATGCTCACAGAAATGCACACACGAACAAAATATGGACCAACAAGCAAACTCACAATAACACACAAGCTTTATAGGCCAAATGGCCAATACTTTTATTCTCTCAATAAGCCTAAAGGAAACCTAGTTACGGGTCTGCTTACAAAACGTGCCCAACTTTCTTGGTTGCATTGCACACCCTAGCATGCCTATATATATCATACAAAATGACGGTTATAAGCCTAATCACCTAGGCAATGCAAAACAGCAATCAGATTCACCCCCAAGACCTTGTTGATCATGGCAGGGGCAATTGCAACTATTGGCTGACTTAACCAGCAACTGCCCTGAACTTCTTTGCATGTGTGTGTGCACATGCTAGAAACTCCCTCATGTTGTGCACATGCCCACAACTACACAGAATTGCCCTGCAAACCATACACATGCCAACAACCGTCTAGAAATTGCCACCATTTGTAGTGCACATACTTCAAAGACCTCCATGTTGTGCACGTGTCTTTTCTTGCGAGCCCATAGCACATGATTAACCTTGCCTTTGTGCCAAGCCATGCCTAGCTCATGGCTTGGTCTTCCAAGCTAGCAATGCCCCACAACTCGAGCCACCCGACTAGTCTTGCTTGCTTGTGCCCAACGTGCCCATGCATAAGCTACTTTCCTCAACCATGTATGACGCTTCAATCAACCCACTGGTTATGCCCAACGTGTCCATGCATACGCTGCCTTCCTCAGCTATGCATGGGGCGTCCGCCAACGACAAGTCCCTCCAATCATGGGCCCAACATCTTGGGTCTCAGACTTTGTAATGTCTTGCCTCACCCATGACAAGCATTTGTTGAGGTCATGCCTTGCTTTGGTATGTCACAACTTAGGGGCATAAGGGTCCCTAAGAAGACTGGTTCGTTACCTCTTCGCGGAGCACCCCCTATAATAGCATTAGTGAGCAAAAATGCATTGACATCAACAAATATACTCTAGGCCGAGGAGTTATAATTACTTGAGCCAATGACATAATCGTTGCATGTCACTTGAGCATTTTTTGAACCACTTTGTTACTCAATCAAGTAAACGTCCAAGTTCTTAGAAAACCAACTTTGCACTAAGGGTTTATTTCACCAAATATAACCCAATTTATTGAGGTGCGCATAAGTTGGACCAGACATCCTAGATTGTTAAATCAAAACAAAAAATAATAATGTAATCTCAGTCTTAAATTTTTAATTCATTGGCTATACATATTAACTCGAATATGACATAATAATAAACATGTAAAATTAGTGGGTTGCATTGGAGTTGATTAATAATTAAAATGAACATGAATTAACAAGACTCGAGTATGACTCGATGCCACCCCTTACCCTAACTATGCTTCCCAAAATTTAAAGAAAAAGAAACCTAACAACAACTACTAATTTCGCCATAGCTACAGCACATCGACAATTGCCAATTTCAATCATGGACCAAATTATAAAGGTGGGACTTTATTCCCTTATATTAATTCTTCATTCCCTGATATTAATTTTTCATTCCATGACTTTCACCTTCATTCCCCCTAACCTTTTTCGCTATCTATAGTTATTCCCTTCAGTCTTTTTCTGCATTTTACAATAATGCCCTCAATCAAAAGCTTAATGATATTTAGATCTAAAAATATAATCCAATTTATTGACATAATAATATAATTTTATTATAATTATTACATGTACACTAAATTTTAATATTTAATGAGACTCACAATCAATTTAATAATTATAATAATATAGGTCAACACATTAAGTTAATAAATTAAATCACATTATTCTTTCTCAAATTATTTCAAGAAATAGTAAAAGAAAAAAAATAGAAAGAAAGGAAGAGAGAGAGACTTACACAGAGAGAGAGAGTGAGATAGAGATGCCAAAATCTTCTAACTTCTGATAAGATAGAAGGCTGATTTCCTTTTCCTAGCTCGTCCACGTATATAAAAATGAAAAATATTACATAATTTAAATAAAATTTAAAAATTATAATATAAATGTATATTATCTCTTAAGATAAATATTTAATGAGTGAATTTTATTGAAAAAATTAATAGGACCCACTTATCCCAAAAATGATATATATTTGAGTTATTACACAAAGCATTAATATCTCTTTACACAAAGACCCACACTAAGCTTCAAAACAAACAAGAAAGAACCCAAAATACTTTTCCCTTAAGATTATTTGTTTAGCGGAATAGTGGTAAAAATGCAAGAATTTTTTTTTATGTGTTATGATAAAATAGAAAATACTGAAAAAATAATTTTTCTTCATGCTTAGATTTTTTCACAATTAACTAACTTTTGTTTCTTACTAAAAAATACAAGGAAAATAAAAAATTTTGTGATCAATAACCTATAATTTGGTTCGAAGGTTTAAGTTCGCATTGAATTAGGTTTGGAGTAAAATTTTTTAAAAATTTAAATTTTTATTTATGATAGATATTTTTTTTTTACTTTAAATCAAACGGACCTTTATAAAGACACTATTTTTCAGGGAGGGAGAGAAGGAGAGAGAAAGAGAAAATGGACAGAATGGAGGGAAAAAGTGGAGAGATACCAGCGGAGTGGAAGAAGACGGTGGAGTGGCTGAAGGAGATGGTGAATAACACGTTCTGTGAACAAGAGATATACGCCATGCTTAATGAATGTGATATGGAACCGAACGAAGCCGCTCAGAGACTTCTTTCCCAAGGTCTCTCTTACTTCGCTTATTCTTTGTGAAACGAACGATCATTATGTTCTTGATGGCTTCTTGTTCTTGGTTTTTAATTGCTTTGGCTGTTGGCAATCTTGGTTTCTGTTTCTGGGTTTCTTTGTTGTGTCTGTTTGATTAATATTAGATTAAAGCAGTGTTTCTAATGTGGATTTTATGTGTTAATAGACGATACATTGCTTTGGGTTATACAATACTGAAACCTCTATTCATGATGTAATTCTCCAGATTTTCGTATATGCATGCTTCTTATTTTAAGTTCTTGATACTTGGCCGAGTTGTTGTTCTTTTTAGGGTTAAATGCAAAAAAGCCTCCTGTACTTGGGGTCATTTGCATTTGACCTCGTCATAGTTCCTTTGATTTTCTCTCTCTATTTCTCTTCCCATCCATTCTTTTCCAAGAAAATTCATTTACCTCAATTGTTCGTCCATTAGCACCACACTTGTTCGTCATTTTGTCATAGAGAATACCACACAATTGCTTTCATCGGAGAGAACCCACCATGCAAGAACTTGCAATTGCTTCCATTCTTGCAAAAGCCTCTAGCATATTACATGCAAGGCCTACAACCAAACCCAATTCCACCATCTTCACACCAATTACCACCAAGAAACACCACTCTCACCAAACACCTCTTATGAAGTTGGTGGTGGTGAGTGTCCCCACAATTCCCATAATCCACCCAATTTCTACCACTACACCCGTATGAGAACACAATTGAGTTACTTGTATGGGCTCGATTGGGGAAGTTTATGTGAGAGTGGGTTGGGGTGGTGGAGTTTTGATGGGGTGGGAGTGTTGTAGGGGGTGGGTTTTGCTGTGGGAGTGGGCTGCGATGGTGGTGGGGGTTTCGGTGGGGAAAAAGAGTGGGTTTGGAGAGAGATAGAGAAAAAAATTTGCTACAGGGTGGGCTCTGTTGTGAGAGTTTCGACGAGGGTGAGTTAGGGTGGGAGTGTTGTAGGGGATGGGTTTTGTTGTAGGAGTGGGCTGCAATGGTGGTGTTACTGGTGGTGGGTTTCGTTGTAGAAAGGAGTGGGTTTGGAGAGAGAGAGAGTTTTGCTGCAAAGGTGGGCTCGGTTGTGAGAGTTCACAAGTTCCGGCGAGGGTGGGCAGGGTGGGAGTGTTGCAGGGGGAAGGTTTTGGTGGGGAAAGGAGTGGGTTTGGAGAGAGAGAGAGCGCCAATGGCTAAGTAGGTGGTGGGTTGGCATGGGGGAGAGGCTATGATGGTGGTGTTAAGGTGGTGGATTTCGGTGGGGAAAGGAAAGGGTTTGGAGAGAGAGAGAGATGGCTGGGCTGAGGAGGGTATTTTAGGAATTATAATTTATAATTTTAATACATTTTATCTCCACTGCACCTTTAAGCGCGTGTTTAACTCCTTTTGTTAAATTAGCAACGCCCGTCTATTTTTGCACTTTATTTTCAAGTTGAGGGGGGGTTTGGTGCAACAGTTAAAACTACCAGGAGGTCATGTGCACATGACCCCAAGTACAAGGAGGTGTTTTGCATTTTACCCTTCTTTTTATTATGTTGATTTAAATATTTCTTGTTTTAATTTATTGTATACTTGGTGGTATTGGTGTCCTTTTTTATTTAGTTGGTGGTTGGTGGCAATGAAACCATAAAGATTAGATGGTTTTTTTACATAGCTTGAAAAAAAAATGTATAAAATCTGATTTGTTCTATTTTAGATAATTTTTTTAGATATTAATCTGTCTTTCCCAGTTAATTTTTGCATGCTTAGAATACTAAGGGCAATATTTAAAAAAAAAAAGAAAAGTAGAGAATGAGAACAGTTGAATTTTATAGTATGATTTGGGAAAATTCGAAACTTGATTTGGCCTTGCAAGCATATTGGTACTTCTAAATGGATTTGCGCCCCCCTCCTTCTCCTCTTCCTCCTCTTATCTTATCTTTCTTTGGTCTTGGAATAATCATTTAGTGAGGGATTAAAACTTTAATGTCTTGTCTACCCCTACCTTTTCTCTGCAACCAAGTGGAGGTTAGTTTTTTGATTGTCTTACTGTGCATTGATATTGCAGAAACCAAATCTGATTTGTTTGTCCTTTTTGGTGTAATTTCTCTGATTTCTTGAGTTTTTTTTTTCACCATTGTTGTTTGTACCTTTTCATCCGAACAGGAATTGATTTTCCTTTCTTCTCGGTTGAAACATGTTTGACAAGTGTGAAAGAATGAGACTTTCATTGCTTAATTTCATCCTTCAATACTTTAAAGCTTTATCACATTATTTNAAAGGAGTGGGTTTGGAGAGAGAGAGAGCGCCAATGGCTAAGTAGGTGGTGGGTTGGCATGGGGGAGAGGCTATGATGGTGGTGTTAAGGTGGTGGATTTCGGTGGGGAAAGGAAAGGGTTTGGAGAGAGAGAGAGATGGCTGGGCTGAGGAGGGTATTTTAGGAATTATAATTTATAATTTTAATACATTTTATCTCCACTGCACCTTTAAGCGCGTGTTTAACTCCTTTTGTTAAATTAGCAACGCCCGTCTATTTTTGCACTTTATTTTCAAGTTGAGGGGGGGTTTGGTGCAACAGTTAAAACTACCAGGAGGTCATGTGCACATGACCCCAAGTACAAGGAGGTGTTTTGCATTTTACCCTTCTTTTTATTATGTTGATTTAAATATTTCTTGTTTTAATTTATTGTATACTTGGTGGTATTGGTGTCCTTTTTTATTTAGTTGGTGGTTGGTGGCAATGAAACCATAAAGATTAGATGGTTTTTTTACATAGCTTGAAAAAAAAATGTATAAAATCTGATTTGTTCTATTTTAGATAATTTTTTTAGATATTAATCTGTCTTTCCCAGTTAATTTTTGCATGCTTAGAATACTAAGGGCAATATTTAAAAAAAAAAAGAAAAGTAGAGAATGAGAACAGTTGAATTTTATAGTATGATTTGGGAAAATTCGAAACTTGATTTGGCCTTGCAAGCATATTGGTACTTCTAAATGGATTTGCGCCCCCCTCCTTCTCCTCTTCCTCCTCTTATCTTATCTTTCTTTGGTCTTGGAATAATCATTTAGTGAGGGATTAAAACTTTAATGTCTTGTCTACCCCTACCTTTTCTCTGCAACCAAGTGGAGGTTAGTTTTTTGATTGTCTTACTGTGCATTGATATTGCAGAAACCAAATCTGATTTGTTTGTCCTTTTTGGTGTAATTTCTCTGATTTCTTGAGTTTTTTTTTTCACCATTGTTGTTTGTACCTTTTCATCCGAACAGGAATTGATTTTCCTTTCTTCTCGGTTGAAACATGTTTGACAAGTGTGAAAGAATGAGACTTTCATTGCTTAATTTCATCCTTCAATACTTTAAAGCTTTATCACATTATTTTCTCATTTTTTCTCGATCATGCAGATACGTTTCATGTGGTGAAAAAAAAAAGGGATAGAAGAAACGAGGTAACCTTATAAAAATATGCTAAAATGTAATTATTGGCGTGGCTTGATTCCTTTTATCCTTTTATTTATATTTGAATAATTCATGTTCACAAATAGAGTTGATATGGTTCATGGTATTGTTTTTTGGGGGTTATATTTTCAACATGGACTCATTAATATTTCAGTTGATATATACTGTAGCAGTGAATTTTAACTGGGATATGTGAAATGGTAATCATTTTGCTGTCTTTCATGTCATCTGCAAGGCTGTTGCTATAGCTTTTTCCTGACCTCGCCATTCTTTCCAATCAAGGATGCTCAGGAATCCAGAAATCAAGATAACTGCAGTTCTTCATATCGGGCAGCTAGAAATGGCAATGATTGTAGTGTTGAACATAGTTGGCCAATGCATATGAGCTCCAAAGGTATGTACATATTGGTCTACAGTTTTAGACACTTGTCTTGGGTATGTATTGCTGATTTCATTCTGCAGACACAAAGGAAAGTGCATCACTTGTTCCTCAACTATCTTCATCTTCTACATCTGTGGGATGGAACAATATGACTCAGCATAATTACATTCAAGATGATGTGACTGCCCGGACTCTCTAGTGAGTGCCATGCAACTTATAGATGTATAGGGAACTTTGCAGGAAATTCTCCACTTAGATAATCACTCCTTATGTTACTTTTCTAGTTCTGCTGTCTAACTTATGTTGTGCTTCATATTTACTTCTTAAACGATCTGTGTATGCTTGCCTAGAGAAGACTGTAGTGTTCTGTCTTCATATTATGCCTTCTCTACAGATGAATTTAAGTTGCTGGAAAAATGATATTTAGAGAAAAATTCTTTATGGAGTTTGTGGTTAGTCAGTGATAGAAAACTACGCTAATCTTATATGTATTGCAATAAGAATAATCATTATATACTAATTGGATGATTATTACATGTATTTTGGTGCTAATTGCCAGCCATGTGGTACTTGATCGTTCTCTTCCATATGTGCTCCTACTGGCCATGACTGTTTATATAGCAATAGAAAAACCATAAATATGAAAATGATCCTCAATGAACATACCTTTGATTTTTTTAAATAATTAAATATTCGTTTTTTATTTTTTTGTGTTTTAGTCACATTTTTTTCTTAACATCTTTAAATTATTAGGAATGATTTAACTAGGGGTGTCCATGGGCCGGGTTACCCACGGGTCCCATTACCTGACCCAAAAAAATATGCCCGAAACCAGATTGGCCTGCTAATTGGCCCGCCCGAGTCTGAGTCTAATATCCTTAAAAAGAGGGTTTGGGTTTGCCTCTAAACTCATTACCCGGCCCGAAGCCCGCCCATCCACCCACCCACCTTTTCTTTAAAAAAAAGTTATACAATTAGATCATTAAATTTGAAACTTTTAAATAAGTCCCTTAATATCGAAATTTGAAGTTTAAAAATTTAGATATTATAAATAATATATTATTTTCTTTTCTATATATTAAGCATATAAGTTTTAAATGATAGAGTAATACAATTGATAGATAAGTTAGTAGGTGTCAACCTAGTTGGGATTTATTCATTCGTAGTTCATTATTTTATTTTTATCCATTTTTGACTTTATTTTTGATTCAAAAATATAATTTACACAAATATTAAATTATAAAAATATTAATTATTTTTAAATAAAGATGTATATAAAAAAGCCCGCAAGCCCGCCTACAGGCCCGCTCAATAGGCTAACGGGTTGGGCTGCGGGTAGCCTACCCTACCCAAAGCCCGGCCCGCCCGATAATTCACTTAAATAAGGGCTTGCGTCCACACTACCCAGGCCCGGCCTAAAAATAATTTTGCGTGATGGACACCCCTAGATTTAGTGATTATATATTTGTTGCTTTCCAGCTGAGATCTTTTGGTTATGCTTAGTTGCGTACATAGTTTGATGGATGATGCATCCGATTATTACCCAATAAAGTGCATACTATGTCATGTCATGGCATGATGACATGGATTCATGAAAATAAAAAAAAACTATACGGTCATGTATAATTGGCTTTTTTGTCCTTTTGGAGGGAAGTCTTTTTGAAATGTGAAATTTGACAATCAGGAACTTTGTGGAAACTTCATGTGGGCAGTGCTTTTGTCTGCAGCAGCCTTCTAAGTTCCATGGCCGCCATTAATTTTTTAAAGTTAAAAAAAAGGTGGGAAAAATCTCTAATTTCCTTTTGCAGCAGTCCATGAGGGGGCGAAAGTTATAATTGGACATGCCCGAGGTGTATTTTTAAGCTCTGCGACCAGTGTTCTTTCGCAGCAATAAAATTTTACACTTGTATTTATTGGAATAAGCTGCATGACATCTTTCTAAACAAAAATGATTACATGATCGTTTCTTGCTTCCTATACACCCTTAATCTAGTTAGTAGAATGTTTTATTTTTAGTTTACTTGCAACTGTCTAAACTGCCCTTTACTGTTCTCTTCATTTATTCCTGCCTTTTTAGTTCAACCTAGGTGGTAACGGAAATCTTAAATATGTTCCAATTTCTGGTTGGTTTCTTGTTGAACTACATGTTGAGTAATTCGTTTCATATCTTGGTGCAGTGATTCTGGTCTTGCTAATAATAAAAGAAGGGTAAGAAAAACAAATCATGCAACTTCTTCATCTCTTCAACCTCCAGGAATTCAGCCTGCTTGCTTTGGGGACCCAGTACATGTTTCCATGGTTGACATTGTGAAGACGGTTAGGCTGCATGGCAACGCTGCCAACCTGCCAACTTCAATGCCAGAAGCTTCCTTTCTTCCCCTCGACACAGTTGCACCAAAGTTCTCTGGCAACTTTGTGAAGGATCCCCCTTATTCTACACCTTCTAGAGAAGAATGCCAGCAAGTTTTGTGTTTTGAAAATGTTTCTAAAACTGAAATGACCTGTGACCCTGGCAATAATGCTCGCCAAAGTAGTATGCGTGATGAATGCTCCCAGGTTCAGCCAGTGATGGCTGCCAGTGAAGTATATGTTCCCGCATCAGAAACCAAGATGCAATCTAACAGTGGTGATGGAACTAATTCGAGTTTTGGGCACCAGTTTCATGATATCAAAGTATCAAAGGTAAATGTTGCCATGGAAAATATCTCCACGAACTGCATCAGACCTGTTTCTGCATCCAACTGTCAGATGATAATTGAGAGTGATGGAAGTCCATCTCATTTCAGCTGTGACACATGTCAGGATCTCAGTTCTTATGATCCACACATGCTTACCTTTGAGCAGGAGAAAGGTGAATTATTTCCTCTGTAAAGTATTTCGCATGTTATCTCACTGCGTATTAGATATGTATGAGTAAGGTATCATTTCTGTTGTCGTTTTTTGTTGATATAGTATTGAAACTCTGATATAGAGTAACTTGATTCGTGTTATATTTGTCCATTCTCCAATTTGAAGAGATATACTGCTATTATTAATTACTTGGTCAGCATGTCTATCTGCAGAATCAAATCTTGTTGGTGTTACAAACTCACTTCTCTGCATTTTGTTTTTATTACATCTTTTACGTTCATTAGAAAAGGTCAATGCTCATTCAGCGCAGTTGACACAACCCACCTGCTTGCCATGACTGCCAAATGAGAAGTCCAGGAGGGTTGGGTGGATGGGAGAATATGACTACTAAGATTATTCTTTTTTCACTTTGGTCTTTAATTTACTTTCCTATACTTATAGTTCACACAAGGGTATTTCAGTCATTTTGCACATTGCTACACACTTAACATTTCCGATTCAGATTTCAAAACTTGAGGCTAATCGGTTAAGCATAGGTGCAGAAAACTTGTTTCTGCTGTGACCATGGTCGCCTAGGTACACAACCTTGTCAATTGGCTGCTGTTCGACAGACCGTGTGACCTAGTCGACTGGCCTTATACAAAATGCCCTGTTATGTTTTAGTTTTTGATATTTTCTTTAAACTCCTATGAGAACAGGCATGGCATATAAAGCATATCAAGTAAGAGAACAAATTAAGCTCAAGAACCTGCATCCAAATCAATTTCATTCAACTCAAATCAAGAATCATGATACAAGTCACATAAAAAGATCACATTCTTGAAATTCAATATAACTGATTTATGCTTATGTGTTTGTAAAGAATTGAAGTTAAAATAGCAACAAACTAATATATAGCGGATTAGCCACCTAGGCCTATATCCACTCTTTCGACCACATAGGTTGGATTCACTCAACTAAATGGGATAAAGGAGCCAATCACCTTGTGGATCACAGATGATCAACCAACTAGCCAACCTAGAAGCTACTTTGTTTGGGATTTTTGCCAATTTTCCTTGGTCTACCAACCTATCTAAGCAAGTACCTGCAAGACACTCAACTAGGATTTGGTGAGAGTTTCTAGGGTTAACCTACAACCTCCCACTTAGCAAAAATTCACTCAATTTCGACTTAAGATCTTACAAGTTTCCCCTAGAGATATACCTTTCTAAACTTGTGCAAGCGTGTGGATAATGAGTGCACTACTCAAGTGAGGTGTTATTCAAAAAATATGTCATGTGCTCTCTTGAATGGAAGGGTGAGATGGACTAGAATGCCCCCAATCTCTCCAAGATGTGATATATGTAACGCCCCAAAATCCACCCTGGACGGCATTACAAACTAAAAACCATTTATATCATGAGGGCAACTAAATAATTCATCCATAAAGAAATTTCATACATCAAAGGTAATCTTTACAATCTCGTTCCCAAAAGAATACGCCAAAACATGACGAATATATCCCCAAAAGAATATGATCCCAAAGTAAGACAATTACATCTCAAAAGAATTAAACATAAATTCGTAGCGGAATTACAAAAGATTCTACACTTCACAATATTTTTCAAAGTACATTTCCTAGTCTAGAATAAAAAGTAATGTTGTTCTAAGCGTCCACCTCGGGATCACCATGCCCGTCTACGGGAATCTCCCAGTATGCTGGTTCCTCAATTCCCAAATCCTCCTCCAGTATATAATCTGAAAAATGAAGTTTGTAGGGGGGTGAGCACTAAGCTCTATAGCAACATTCCTTCCAAACTCGAATAAGGTTTAGAAAAGTATATAAAAATGGTTGGTCACCTTTCACAAATAACATATATGAATTTTAAAAGAAAATCGGGACATTTAAACAGATCTTAAGTTTAAGCAACAATAATAATTTAATGCATAAGTGAAACCAATATACAACTAATAATTCATTCTACCATAAACTGTTTCTCCCAAGTTCTTGCGGAATCCCATACTTCCCAAAATTCTTGTAGAAACTATTTCTGGTAGAATAAACAATAACTTATAACTTGAACATTTCACAACAATATATACATGTATCTCAACCATGATGTAAGACATCTACATGAATCAACGCATTGAGTAACATCTAGCCCCCACACACACATCCAAATCTTCTCAAAGATATCTAACCTTTAGGAAGGACGTATACCATACCAATGACAGTGACGTATCCAACCCAGCCATTAGTATACTAACCCTTCGCCTCGATACCCGTGAGTAATAGCGGTTTAGTCTTACCAAAGCACTAACCCCACTACGAGTAGTAGAAAAAGTTTAAACCCACACGGAGTATGAATAACGTCTACCCACTCTATAATATCTCGTCAAAGGCTACCCATGATCCTCCCACACTCATGAGAGATACAATACCAAACTCAATTTCTCAATTTACAAGCATATCTCAAAATTTTTTAAATTTATCATATGACAATTCCAAAATCAATTAAGGAAAATACAAGAGATCACAACAACATCATTTTATTACTCAACACAAGGCATTATAGTTTCGAAATCAATAATAAAGGAAGAATTTAAGAAGAAAATTCATCACTCTCCAAAAACTAGGGTTTTTAAAGTAAGAAAGGAGATTTTATGGGTATTCAACTCTAACTTGTGTAAAACATGATAATCATTGCAAGCAGACCAAGAAAAGATGATTTCGTAGCAAATATATAAGATTTAGAGTCAAAGAATACATATATATTAGCCCTAGCATCAATGGACAAGAATGAAAGAAAACCCCCTCTGATGTTCTTGAAAAAATTAGATTTCGATCTTCTTGAAGTTAAAATCACCTTTGATCTTGTGTTTTTTTCTTCCTTTACTCCTCTCTAAGGTCTCCTAGGGTTTGGAGTGTTGAAATGGGGCTAAAGGGGTTGTCCTTAAGTATTTATGGTGAAAGGAAAGTCGACTATTGGCGACTTAAAATTTTCAGATTTTTTGAAGACCTTCCAGAAGGTTTGCCTATTTGACAAACCATTTTCATTAACCTTCCGGAAGGTTATCATCGACCTTCCGGAAGGTTTTGTCTACTGGACAATCATCTTCCTTAACCTTCTGGAAGGTTTGTCTTCTGGATAAACATTTTCATCAACCTTCCGGAAGGTTTTGTTTGTTTTTCTACAAAACCTCCTTTTTTCATTTCCAATTCATTCCAAACCTTTCCAATTCCAACCCAAGCTTCTTCAACATGCTTTTGTACATCAAACCTAGTTGGTATAAGTTTTATTACAACGATTTCATATATTTGCAAACTAAATTAAGTTTTAACTACTATTTCCCGAATTTTTCTAAATTAATATTTCAAAAGAATTAATAACTTGCTATATAAACCTACATACATATATAAAGATAAAAGTGTGGGGTTTACAATATAGGCTGAATATGAGAGTTCGAACTCTAAGCCACTAAAAAATCATTTGAAAAGATGGTATTAGTATTCTAATCGGGGGTGGAATGGATAGTTGATGGCTAATTTTTCAAAATTGTTAATCCTAGCAACAAGCTAGAGGGCCCACAGCGATAAAGTTGCTTTATTATGAATTAGGCGTCAAGCATTTGAGTCGCAAAAATAGTCTCTCTATATGCTGGGGGAATGCTATGTTACATTTAACCCAGACCCCGCGGGAGTAAAAATGAGAATGTTATGATAGATGTATTATACAACTAGAATAGATAGAATTAGAAATCAGTATGTCTGTGAAACGATAAAAGTAGAACCAATAACAGATCTATTGAGAAAATTGACTTAGATGGTTTGAACATGTATATAGAAGACCTACAATTGCATTACTGAAGAAGAGTGATGTGATACCTAATGATGACAATGCGAGGGGCACATGTAAGCCCAATTTAAATTTAAATGAGACAATAAAAAAAGTTAATATAGCTTGTAATCTAGCCAGAAATATGGCTCTTAATAGAGTATAGTAGAGATAAATGACTCATGCGGCTACCACCCTGAATAGTTGGGACAAGGCTATGTTGAGTTGAGTTTACTATTCCTACAAAATTACATCTGACATCACTAGTTAAAAGCTTATGTAATTATTCCAAATCAGGTTATCATTTTTTCGCAAGAAGCTTGCAGGTTAAACATCACTGTGTTGTTCATTGATATACATACTGACATATCCAACTTGATTCCAGGTCTAGATGGTGGTTCACATTTATTATTCCAAAAGCACTCAGCTACTTCTAAAAATGAGGTCAACAAAGCAGTGTCGCTGGCTGCTGCAAATTTGCAGCAATTAAACTTGCTGGAGGACCTAGGAGTGCCCCCTACAGATGACGGCAATGCAGTTGTAATTCCTGATGATCTGAAAGTCCCAAACGCTGATTGTTCACATTTGACTTTCGGTACATATAGATCTGGCATTGGTCCTGCATTTTCTGCATCACTTCCATCAAATCCGCTGAGAAGTGGGTTGCAGGCAGGGTCTGTTTTGGCAACAAATGGTACATCAGTTGCACATTTGGATGTCAGGCATGCACTCTTATTTGAGTTATTTCCATAGCACCAGTTGATCCTACTTGCTTGTTTATAACATCTAGAATATTCTTTTGACAGAAAACAGGAATACCATGATCTTGGTCAGCTAATATCTATTTCAGATGCTTATAGAGCAGCTATAATTGCTGGAAATTGTTCTGCACCTTCATCTCCAGAGCTAGAGTTGTCAAAACCGAATAACCTTGAAGCTGCTGATGGACATCTTCCCTCATCTAGATGCGATTACATTTCTGAGACCAGCCAACAGCCAAATCTGACTCTACATAATTTACAGTCAAATCAGGAGATGGGAAATATTTTCCCCGTTCCAACTGGAATGGTAATAATGCTGCTTCCTTTCACAGTTTTACAGTTCTCTCTTATGCCATTGTGGTTTCTTATGGAAATGATAAAGAACAAGTGTTGTGATATGCTAGTCTAGGATCGCGGCATAAAATTTATTAGTTAGTATTCCCCAATGAAGGTATTCAATGGCCATGTGTTGACTGAATTTGACTTTTGTTGCTGCATAATCTAGTCATTCCTTCTTATTTTCTTTTTGTGCCCTCTTAGGCGTTTTCTTAATGAACTGAACTTACATTTTCTGTTAGTTGGACGTGTTGAAACAGTTATTTAACAGACTTGCGTTGCACGCAAATTTTTTGTTTTTGTGGAGTTTGAGACACTAGCCAATGTTATGTCCACGAGCTTTGGGACTGACTATGCTGCAGATGAAACATATTTGCCTAGCTGGACCCGAGTAATCCTTTTAGTCACTTGAAATTTTGTATCCTTTTAGTCTTAATCCCTTTTCGTGGAGTGCATTAAAAGTCAAATAGCAACATACGAACTTTGGAAGATATTTAATTCCAAATTGATAATGATAAAGCTTAAATTGTTGTGTCGGCATATATCACCATCATATTCATATGCGGTTCCTTATTTGATACTTAGTATTATCATCGATATGGAAAAGAGAATTAGTAACATGTTTATAATAGCTTATTCCAACCATTTTTGTTATCAGTTTTTATGTTTCATTATATGGTCATATTTCGGGATTCTTGGATTATAATTTAGTAATTTGATGGCAATAGTTGGAGCAAGTAATTTGCTCATAATTCTTCGGAGGATAATTTTACATTTCTTTTCCATTCATTCTGTATTTAGCCTGGACCATGCACTCTCATTAATTTATTTTTGAAGGAATGTTTTATTCTTCTTTTCCTTGTTTTTCCTACAAGCTACATTTTCATCATATAAAGTAGGGTTTTGTTCTAAGAGAGGGAACATGATGTGGATCTTCCCTTACAATTATACGCATGGAGATTGAGATACTATACTTAGAGGGGGGAGGTGAATAGGTTTTTCAATTTTAGTGTAATTGATTACCAATTAAAACTTAACTCAGTACAATTATCTCTTCTCACAAAGATTTAGAATTCCTTTAGTCACCACAACCCAACTTGCCTATGACGATTGATTTAGTTAATCTTGAATTAATCCACTCACAATCAATCTCACGGCAATCTTAAATTTTCAAACCCAATGCACAACTATGTATGCATTGATATTCAATGAATCATTTCAAGTGTGCGTATGTGCTAACAAATGCAAGTTTATACGATAAATAATAAAGAAAACAAGCAATTTATTGATGCATAAAACTCTCCTCAGGAAAAATCACAGGGAACCTTTTCAGTTCACCAAAGCCTAATTCATTACTCGTTAAGTCAACATACAAGTACTCAAGACTTATATCTCAACCAATACTATGGTTAGATGCTCATTTCCTTACTATGTTTCTGTGTGGAAAGTCTCTCTTTGACGTCTAGTATAGCTCCGCTTGGACCTCTCTGCCACACAGTTCGTTTAGAACTCAAGCAATGATGGGCACGCCAATAATCCTTGGTATGCATACATCAATGGGTTTATCAAACTATCAAGGTCTTCAACTCCAATTTGTAAGGTTGGGTAAAATTTCTAGTGGTAGTCTCTGGATCTTAGAGATCTAAGTTACGGTAGAAGCTCTCAAGGTAAAAGAATGAGTTTTTCTCTTAGATTTTCTAGAGGCTTAACCTAGATGTGGGAAAGACTCTTCCTATATATGGTCCGGACTCCGGAATAAGGGTAGTCTTAGTAAATAAGAAAATTCAGATTCGCGAATGACGGTTTGATCGGAGGGAGGGCAGTTATAGGGAGTTGTCGCTGGAATGAAAACAATATTTCAAACACGACTAAGGTAGGCACCACTCGAGTGACTATGGGTACTGCTCGAGCGACCATGGAGACTGCTCGAGCGAGTTCATAGAGCAAGCCTTATGCAGCATTCCGTGGCCTTTTTCGATTTCTTTCACCAAGTAATAAAGAGACCGCTCTAGCGAAGGCTAGCAAGTATAGATTTGTATTTATAGGGCTTTAAGTATAAAGTTATGCAAAAATTTGTTCTCTTGAATAGTAAAGAATATTGCTCAAAGAGGGGTCCGATTGTGACTCAACTATATTTTCAAAACTCATAAATGGTTTAGAAAAAATTTTTCTTTTAAAATTACCTAGGAGTCATAATCGAATCGCTTCTAATTTTATTTTCATCCTAATCAATCCAAGTTAAAATTAGCTAAGGGTTTGTGTCTAGGTCATTACCTTTATCCTACGCATGAAGGTGCATATAGAGGTTGAATGATATTGTTTTGACGCTTGATCGCTTCCCGTCAATGATGTTTTCGAATCTTGAACTTGATAACATTATGATCACGGAATAGATTGAGATTTTACAATGGATTCAACGAAATTAGTCAATTACAAATATTTAACATAGGGGAACTTGAGGTGTTGTCATTTGAACATTTTGAAAATCAAATGATTGCACGTTAGTCGCCTTCCAAAAAAAACAAAGAAGAATTTTCTAGAATTAAAGGTTAGGTTAACTAGGAGTCACCATTCTTTTTCATTTCATATGCAATTAATACCGGTGATTAGATTTATATTTTTTCTACTTAACTTATTCTTAAAGTGAATCGCGACTTAGTGAAACAAAGTCATGATATTGGAAATGATCTAGATATTTGGGTTTAGCTTTGTCACCTTTGCCTCTGGATTTCTTTTTGGCTTCTTCTTGCTTGATTCTTTTAGCTTGTCCTAATGACCATTTTTCTTTGAAGGTATGCTATGAGCTTTATAGTATTAGCTTTATGGTGTTTTTCTTCTTTGATGCTGCTTCATTTGTTTTAACAATTCATTGTTGATTCTTTTGAGGTTTCCTTTCGCCTTATTTCTGATTATGTCAGGGAGTTGTAATGAATTTTGATATTGCTTTACAGAAAGCCAAATCAAATTCTACACATACTGATCTCTTGGCATCTGCTATTCATCCTATAAGCAAGTATGATATTCCGTATTCAAGCTTAATTGTGAAAGACCTGGTGCCTGCAAGACAGCGTGCAGTATCGTCTGGCAGTAGTCCTACTGTTCTAATGCCACAGGTACTAAAGACACCATTACTTCTATCCTTCTAGTATGTTTTACTATTACTCGGAGATCTTGGTGGTTTGAGTTGTAGTTGGTCCATGCTGACTGTCGTAGAAGTTGACCACAAATTGCAGCCTTTATCTCCTCTACTGCTTTCCTTGTACTTTTTTTTATCAGTCCACGTCGACTTGATTGAACAACTTATGGGAGAAAAAATTTATTTACTGAACAAAAAAAGACTTGACTGAACAAGTGGATGACAGATTGCGGTTCTTTATCTTTGTTCACAGCTAGTCCGTTATTGTCCTCATCACCTGCTTTACCACTTGGGAATGGAGGGAGGAGCTTGAACCTGGGTACTTGGGCTGCACCATTATTTTTGTTCAAATGTCTATATCTTTGGTGGCACATACTTATTAAAAAATGAGGAGTGGAACTGATCAGCCTCGCCTTTTTATTATTACTGCAACTTTAGATGGTATAGAAAATACTAAATTCAATGTGCACGATAAAATTTTGGCATGCATGATTTTGGATTTGACTCACTTTTAGGTGGAATTTAAGGGTCCAGGCTTTGGGTCTAGACTTAATTACTGTTTTCCAGATGGGAATATTTTGCTTGTACATGCAATTTAACGTTTTCCTGTCAAGAATACAAGCTGGATAGTTTTATTATGAAGTGGGGTAAATTTAGTAAGAACTAATCGGGAGAAGTAAATGTCAATATCACTAATGAGTTGTTGAACTCATGCAGGCGCTGGAATCAGGCTTTACATCTGTTCCTCAGCCAACTCTATCAAATTTGCCTCAGAGTGGCATTGCCACAGGAGCTGCACTTACTCAGCACCCTACAAAGGACCCTTACTCTCGACCTTCTCTCTCTATGGGGCATGATGCTGATACGATCGGCTGCCCTTCCCTGCCTCAGGGCTATACATACATGACATCTGCCCTTCAGCAGGAATGCCATGGTGGCAGTCCAAAATATAAGTCTCCAACAGCAGTACAGAACGGCAACATGAATTACAACATCCCAATGTGTGAAGGTCTGAGTAGCTTGCCTCAGTATGCTGACATCACGCCTGGTTATGCTCGTTTTGCTAGAAGCTTTCAGCAGAATCCATCCACTAGCCCTGCAAGAGCCGCTATGAGCTATGATGATATATTAAGTCCCCAATCCAATAATCAAAACGATTATATCACTCCTCAAGAGGTAAAAGAATTGCTATAAGCACCATCTTTAAGAATTTAACTCCCTAGTTGTTTCACCGTGTGAAAAAGAAAGGAAAGTATTTCAGTATTTTAAATGGACGTACCTTCCAAATCATCAGTTAACCTCCTCACCTTTCTTGTTTAAGGAAAATGAACCTTTAGGCTTTTTCTGTTATCCGTAGAACTCAATGTCACCATAATATATGTGTTTGCCTTCTTTGCCAATGGTGGTGTGCCATCTTTGTTGGATTATTTGATTATTAGTATAGAAGGAACTGTAGATGTCATTTTTCCCAGTTTGCTAGTACAGAATTTGTTTTATGAATGTCGATTTTTTTTGTGTTTCAAAGACGAGAATAGTTTCATCTCTCAGCCATTTCCTCCCTGGTTACTGTTCATCATGTAGAATCAAATGCTGTAGTAATCCTATATTTTCCTCTCTGTAGAATGATTACTCTGTGATGTGGGCATATGGGACTGGTTCAAGATCACCGCCTCCCCTTCCAGGCAGTACACACAATGGCTTTCAGGAGCACAATCTACCATTTGGGGAGTATCAAAGAAGTCAGCAGGACTCATTGGAAGGGAGCACACACAACAGCCTTCAGGAGCACAATCTACCATTTGGAGAGTATCATAGAAGTCTGCAGAACTATGGCCTTCAGGAGCACAATCTACCATTTGGGGAGCATCAAAGAAGTCAACAGAATTCATTGGCAGGCAGCACATACAATGGCTTTCAGGAGCACAATTTAAGGTATTGGGAGTATCAAAGAAGTCAGCAGAACTATGGCCCTCAGGTGCAGAATCTACCAATTGGGGAGTATCAAAGAAGTCAGCAGAACTCATTGGCAGGCAGTGCAGATGACGGCCTTCAGGAGCACGATCTACCATTTGGGGAATCTCAAAGAAGTCAGCAGAACTCATTGGCAGGCAGCACTCACAACGGCCTTCAGGAGCACAATCTACCATTTGGGGCATATCAAAGAAGGCAGAACTCACTGCAATTCGGAGCTTTGGGGTACACACAATTTCCTCGTTCTCAGATAGGCATCACACGAGAACAGCAGCAGCAAAGCAGAAGCAACAACATTCAGGGGCACAATCAACCATTTGGAGAGCACCGAAAAAGTCCGCAGAGCTCACAGCAATTTGGAGCTTTAGAGAACCCACAATTTTATCCTTCTCAGACGGGCATCCCACGAGAACAGCAACCGCACCAGCAGAAAAGCCAATCTAATGGGCTGTTTGATGGTTCTCTGGGTGGAACGTCCAATCAACATAGGTGGCCACATTTCGACTGACAATTTCCTCCCTTCCAATTTTTTACTGTTCCCCTTTTTCCTCTGGTATTTCTAGCAAGAGAGAAATCAGGGAATCAAAGTGTTCTTTTGTAGTCTAATTGAAAAATCAGATGCTTAATAGATTAGGTTTCTCTAGCATTGCGACATTGACTTTCTGGACCGAAGATAGTTCTGTATATTTTCATCAATGTCAGAGGAAAAACTTTACTGCAGTTTTCATTATTAGTTATCGGAATGAATTGAATTGTATTCTTTCCAATGCATGGACATGAATCATTGAACTTTCCCTCCACATACATAACTCGTTTGTATGTTGTAACTTTTTGAAAGGAAGGTTGTTAACAGCTTTCCTTCGTTTTAGTTCATAGAATATGGCACTGCAGACTTATTACCTTGTTATAATATTTGGCTTAAATTGAATATATTTAATGGAGATGTGGGTAACTGTTGGGAAAGGCAATTGACATGAAAGAAAATTCTGTTGAGAGTTAGGAAACAGGACGACTGCATATAAAAAGCCTATTAATTTAAAGTTTGTGTCACTTAACCATCTCCTAATCCTCAAATCATTCCTAAGGCTATTCCACATAAATTTATCAGTGCAAAGCTCCTACATAAAGACATTCTACACACACAACTTGTGCTGAGTTTTTCTGTTTCAGCAAGCAAGGGAAGGATTGAACCGATGGCTGGCGGTGCAGACCTTTCTTTCCCTCCTTTTGAGTCCGAAGGTAACATGGAACATATGGCTCCAAAACAGCCAAAGGCAATGCCAACACTTTCTTCAACAGCTGAGGGAGAAATAATTCGAAGGCCTCGTGGCCGGCCAGCAGGCTCCAAGAACAAGCCCAAGCCACCCATTATCATCACCCGGGACAGCGCTAATGCACTCCGTGCTCATGCTATGGAGGTGAGTTCTGGGTGTGATGTGAACGAGAGCTTGGCTAACTTTGCTAGGATGAAGCAACGCGGTATTTGTGTGCTTAGTGCAACTGGTTGTGTTACAAATGTCACGTTGCGCCAACCCTCCTCGTCTGGGGCCATCGTTACCCTTCATGGCCGGTTCGAGATTCTTTCACTGCTTGGATCAATCTTGCCTCCACCAGCTCCTCCGGGGGTCACGGGCCTCACCATCTACTTAGCAGGGGCTCAGGGGCAGGTTCTGGGTGGTGCAGTTGCTGGTGCACTGGTTGCTTCAGGCCCAGTGGTGATCATGGCTGCAACATTCATGAATGCTACATTCGATCGTTTGCCATTGGATGAAGATGAAATTCTCGTTTCAGCGATGCATAATCAGCATTTCCAAAATGGTCGTCATCATCAACAGGTTGATTTCTCTGATACTTATGGAATGCCACAAAACTTGCTCACCAATGGTTCTTTGCCCCCGGAGGCATATTCTTGGGCACCAGGGCGGACACTGTCAAAGACCTAGATTGAACAAGCAGCTCAATTTTTTTTACTGTCAAAGAGAAAAAATATATCAACTAGTCCATAAAAATATTGCCATATTTCAAATTTGTTGTAGTCTTAATATGGGGAAAAATTAGCACAAATGTAACTTTATTTATGCAAATTCTATAAAAACATTGGTCTCCTTGATCTTATTTTCAGGTAATAAGAATGGCGTTGTCAAACCAACTAACCAAAGCCTAAGAGAGCAAACAATTTAGAAGAATTCCTTAACCCTGTATTGGACATCCATTTCATAAATTGCCTTGGGTTCAAAGAGCTTCAACCAACCCTTTATCTAGGGGATGGAGAACAACCACCCCATCAAAGTTTGAAAAATCCTTTAGGTTAGTATAGAATTTCATGAAACTATACAATTTCAATCTTCACCCAGTTGCACGTAAAATTAACCAAGTAGGCTAATATTCTTTCATTAATGCTATTGGGACATAATTTGAGGACTTAATGTTGGACCAAAATAGTTTTTTAAGTGTAAAAACTGAATTTTTGGTCGACTTTGAGTCTAAATTAAAATAGGACCCATTCATTGTTTCGAGTAAACTTTCGTGAATTCATATTCTACTCCATGAGGAGAATAACGTAGTATATTCACTTGCTCAAATCGAGTAAAAAAATAAATGAGAAAATAGGCTTCAAAGTGACCTTCTTGAAATGTGAAAATAGAGGTTGTGAAATGTGGAATTTGACACTAATTTCACATTGGTTGAGGAAGAAATTCAACATGGGCATATATAGGCCAAGTTTGTTTTATGAGATTGGGTCCCAAGGGGTACCACAATTTTATAAATGGAGCGAGCGCTTACATGCCTTCGGTTCGACCACATGCGAGCGCCGCCTGCCTGTCTCACCATGACCCAACTCGGCCGGGCTCGGGTGTGGTTGTGGTTTAGATCAAGCCTATTTTTTTTTGAAGAAAATTCGTTTAATTAATTGAGCGTGAATTTCTTAATCTAAAATTTAATTTTCAGTACCCATTGGATTACACTAGTTCGGATTTGTTGTTTCCCTCCGGTCTGAATTAAGTTGTGTCTGTTTATAGAGAATAGTTACAACAAGTGGTGTCTCTTGGCTTGCATTTGTCTTTTGAGTTGTGTCTTATTGCATTGGAGTTTTGCATTAAGGCAATGTGCATTTTGGAGATTAGAGTGCTACTTCTGCTTGTGTAAAGCTCATTATATCTTGGGAGGCAGACGCTCAAATATTTCATAAACATCGTGTGTGGGGGCAAAATATGTCTTAAGGACATAGTGTCAAACACTAGCCTTGATCTACATAAAGTTCAATAATAGTTCTTGTTCTACAACCGAGTTAGTATTTATATGCTTAAATAAACAGTTACGTGTAATTCTTTTGTGTAACTCTTTCGTGTAAGACTATTTTTGTGTAACTCTTGATTGTTACTGTTTTGTTATATATTACATGATTTAAATCAAAAATTTTTCATAAGTGATTTTATAAAATTTGGAATACCACAAATAACAATCTTAAGACAGATTTCCAATTTGTATAGTTTCTTGTTGTGTTTCTGATACATGTTTTAATTTTTAGACTGTTCTAAAATATTACAAATTGTTAAAATATGTTTTTGACAATTTGTGATATTTTGACGAGACTTTAAAATTTTGTGAAAAAATTGTATTTTTTTGTTTATGTGTTTAATTCAAACAGTTACACCAANAATAAATGAGAAAATAGGCTTCAAAGTGACCTTCTTGAAATGTGAAAATAGAGGTTGTGAAATGTGGAATTTGACACTAATTTCACATTGGTTGAGGAAGAAATTCAACATGGGCATATATAGGCCAAGTTTGTTTTATGAGATTGGGTCCCAAGGGGTACCACAATTTTATAAATGGAGCGAGCGCTTACATGCCTTCGGTTCGACCACATGCGAGCGCCGCCTGCCTGTCTCACCATGACCCAACTCGGCCGGGCTCGGGTGTGGTTGTGGTTTAGATCAAGCCTATTTTTTTTTGAAGAAAATTCGTTTAATTAATTGAGCGTGAATTTCTTAATCTAAAATTTAATTTTCAGTACCCATTGGATTACACTAGTTCGGATTTGTTGTTTCCCTCCGGTCTGAATTAAGTTGTGTCTGTTTATAGAGAATAGTTACAACAAGTGGTGTCTCTTGGCTTGCATTTGTCTTTTGAGTTGTGTCTTATTGCATTGGAGTTTTGCATTAAGGCAATGTGCATTTTGGAGATTAGAGTGCTACTTCTGCTTGTGTAAAGCTCATTATATCTTGGGAGGCAGACGCTCAAATATTTCATAAACATCGTGTGTGGGGGCAAAATATGTCTTAAGGACATAGTGTCAAACACTAGCCTTGATCTACATAAAGTTCAATAATAGTTCTTGTTCTACAACCGAGTTAGTATTTATATGCTTAAATAAACAGTTACGTGTAATTCTTTTGTGTAACTCTTTCGTGTAAGACTATTTTTGTGTAACTCTTGATTGTTACTGTTTTGTTATATATTACATGATTTAAATCAAAAATTTTTCATAAGTGATTTTATAAAATTTGGAATACCACAAATAACAATCTTAAGACAGATTTCCAATTTGTATAGTTTCTTGTTGTGTTTCTGATACATGTTTTAATTTTTAGACTGTTCTAAAATATTACAAATTGTTAAAATATGTTTTTGACAATTTGTGATATTTTGACGAGACTTTAAAATTTTGTGAAAAAATTGTATTTTTTTGTTTATGTGTTTAATTCAAACAGTTACACCAAACAGTGACTCTGTTTTAAACAGTTACACAAAACAGTCACTCTGAGTTAAACAGTTACACCAAACAGTGACACCATACATAAACATTATAACAGTAACTTCAAAACAGTGACACAAAATAGTAACATAGATTGTCTCTATTTTAATAACTTGCTTTGAAAAATATTACTGTTTTCCTATTTTTGAATAATTTGTAATCTTTGTTGACCAAAAATAATTAAAAATGATAATAATATTCCTGCTACTACAAATCATGTTGTGCCTGTCCATGGGGAGAAATCCAAAAAGTTCAATGAAAACGATTTCAAGAGATGACAACATAAAATAATTTTTTATCTCACTATATTAAATCTTGTAAAGTTTTTTAGTGAGGATGCTCCTGTTTGTAGTGAGAATGAAACCGACTGTCAAGTTGTTGCTGCGGTGGATGCATGGAAGTAATCTGATTTTCTGTGCAAAAATTATATCCTTAATGGATTGAATAACATATTATATAATGTGTATAGTCCAATCAAGACGGCTAGAGAGCTGTGGGAATTCTTAGATAAAAAGTACAAGACGGAGGACGCCTGAATAAAGAAATTCATTGTGGGCAGGTTCTTTGACTACAAAATGGCGGATTTCAAGACTATCATAAGTTAAGTTAAAGATCTTCAAGTGATCTTACATGAGATTCATGCCAAAGGGATGGTGCTTTGTGAATATTTCCAAGTGGCTGCAATTATGGATAAATTACCGCCAAATTGGAAGGACTTAAAAAATTATTTGAAGCACAAACGCAAAGAAATGAAACTTAAAGATTTGATCGTGAGATTGAGGATTGAGGAGGACAATAGAGTCTTCAAAAATAAAGTTGATAATCATTCTATGAAGTCAAAGGCACATGTGATTGAAGAAGAACATAAAGTCAACAAGAAAAGGAAGTATGTTGGCCAACAAGGGGCCAATGATGGTTATTCCAAAAGGTTCAAAGATAATTGCTTTGTATGCAATAAATCGAGGCATCGTGCAAAGGATTGTCGAAGTCGTAAAGCATAAGGGAACTACAAGAAGAAGACTGCCCAAGCCAATATAATCGAGGTAGACAAATTTTCTGAAAATATTTATAACATGAGTTTTTCTGTTGTAGTATCCGAAGTGAACTTGGTGGAAAATACCAAAGAATGGTGGGTGGACACCGGGGCCACTAGACACATTTGTTCGGATAAGAAGATGTTCTCTTCATATGAAGCAATTAATGATGAAGAACAACTCTTCTTGGAAAACTCCTCCACTTCCAAAGTTGAAGGCAAATGAAAGATATATTGAAGATGACTTCCGAAAAAGAACTTACTCTCAATGATGTGTTACATGTTCCAGAAATTTGAAAGAATTTTATGTCTGGATCGTTGTTGAGTAAGAAGGGTTTTAGGTTAGTTTTTGAGTCCGATAAATTTGTACTAACAAAGAGTGGGATTGATGTGGGCAAGAGATATATGAGCGATAGACTTTTTAAGATAAATGTAATAACAATTGTATCTAATTTTAATAATAAGAACACATCTTCTGCTTATATGCTTGAGCCTTCTAATGTATGACATAGTAGATTAGGACATGTTAATTTTGATATTTTGCGTAAATTAATGAATTTAGAATTGTTGCCTAAATTCAATATTGATGCAAGTCATAAATTTGAGATATGTGTTGAATCAAAATTAACTAGAGCATCATTTCATAATATTGAAAGAAGTACTGAATCTCTAAAGTTAATTCATGGTGATACATGTGATTTGAAATATGTTCAAACTAGAGGTGGAAAGAAATATTTTGTTACATTTATTGATGATTGCACAAGATATTGTTATGTATATTTGCTAAGGAGTAAAGATGAAGCATTGGAAAATTTTTTGCATTATAAGAATGAGGTTGAAAATCAACTTGGCAAAAAGATTAAGGCAATAAGAAGTGATCAAGGTGGTGAATATAACGCACCTTTCGATCGGTTCTGTCAAGAACATGGTATTATTCACCAAACTTTTACGCCTTATACACCCCAGCAAAATGGAGTTGCTGAACATAAAAAAAAAACATTGAAAGAGATGATGAATGTCATGTTGATTAGTTCGGGATAACCTCAGAACTTGGGGGGGGGGGAAGTTTTGCTTTTAACAAATTATATTTTAAATAGACTACCCCACAAGAAGTTAGACTAAACCCCTTATGAATTATGGAAAGGTCGGAG